TTAATCTAATAGAATGTGTATGCGTGCACAGGCGTGTATTGATAATCAATCCATGAAAAATACGAATTAATACCCATGATTAGTGGTGATAAAGTTAGAAAATCTTTAAAAAAAAAATGTAAGAATAGTGAAAATTTTCAATACAAGTGATAGTTTCGAACCTCTAATCCCTACTTTCACATAAGATCTTACGATCCCACATCGGTTAAAAATATGTGTATATATAAACTCTTTGACACCCTTCCTTTGCAAACCGGGACAAGTTCTATCCACGGATTTATAACAATTGGTATCAAAACTAATCACCACATCAAATATGAGATCGAGCAATGTAAACTGCGGTTCTCTGTGATCGAGTCATAGAAAGAACGACTTATAACCTGAATTAATATGACTTGATATTATATATTGACATAGTACTATCTCAAAAATGACTATCGTTAAGTTAACGTCGATAGAGTGAACCACTGTGGACATCGACTACAAAAACATGGTAAAATGTTACGATCCCATATTAGTTAAAAATAAAACTAGATATGTATGCATGAACTATTAGACACCTTACCTTTACAAATCAATTTTCAAGGGTAAATTCTAACCATGAATTCATAACATANGATTCCATAATTAATCCAATCTATACCCGACAAATATCCTCTATAAGATAACTTTACAACTCTTTTCTCAATTCTACTAGGAATATTATCAAACAAGTTTTATGCATCACTGCATCCAAAATATATATGAATTGAATGAGTTCCAAAACAAGTGTACAACTTGCAATTCAATCCTCTAAGAGGCAGCAACTCAATGTCTCCCAACAAAACAAAATCAGCTTCACCATGGGCAGCAAGTCAAATGTCCAAAAAAGAACAACTTTTACATAGACAATTCATAGAACACTTGGTGAACAAACTCTAATCTAAGTTTTCCTTCCTTACACAGTAGCAGATTTCACTTTTGCCTCAATGGATTCACATTTAACACAATATAAAAAATGAATAACTGATCATTAGTTAACGCTAAAATAATCCTAGAGCAAGTTAATGGACACTTGCTCAACGTGTGCCATGTGCTTGAGGCTTGAGGTGAGGAGGGAAAAAAGGGGATAGAAGAGAAAGGGAGGAAAGGAGAAGAAATGAAAGAACATGGTAGGGAAATAGCCGTGAGCAACTGGGTCGTGAATGGAAAAGAAAGAGGCGAGAGTGAAGCATCAAGGGTACTGCAACTCAAAACTCCACACTCCAGCCACCATTGATCATGCTAAAACCATCATCAAAATATACATGGAAACACACTAAGAACATGGATGGAAGCATGAACCATGAACCATGAAGCTATTTTCTGTTTAATTAATAGCATTGTTGATTTTTATAATCCATCCAAAATAACCCAATAATTTTCTTTTAAATCAAATCACACGTACCCAGTCCAATTGTACAAAAGTTTTTCATTTACCTGATATCATTGTTGAAATTTAATGAATAACTGCTTAAAAATAAAAGAAGTAATTACAAATTAGAATCAAGGTCATAACAAAATTGATAAATTTATTAATAAAAATGATCATTGATTTTTCCAAAAAAAAAAATATATATATAGAATACAATGTACAAATATTTATTTTTTTCAAATCGAAACTGTGTAAAAATGACTTTGAAGATGTGGCTCATGTCACCAGTTGAGCTTCAAATAGTAGCTCAACACACTCAACCTTTTCACCTTACCCAAATGAACACCCACCAATTTAACAAGCAATGACCACTTATTTTCTCTTTCCTATGCTCTGTAAGCTCCAAAGGGCACCATGGCCGACACTCCCAGTGGACACCGAAAAAATGTAGGTCAGAAAGGAGAAAATATAGCACTTCTTTTTTCCTCTTTCTAATTGCTCTGCTTCAGTAAGCTTCACACGTTCTGTGGCGGTGGCTATGTATCAGTCTTTCACGCCATTGAAGCTTTAACAATACTGCAACTCAAAACTTCAGTCTGCATAAACTGCTTACAATCATAAAACTAAACATTGAAACACAATTAAACATTGATCTACGCATGAAACATATGCCTCCAATAGTAAGAGAGAAAAATAATCCATTCAAGAGAAGGAGCAATGGTGGAGTGAAGAGGGAAAAAATAAAAATATATCATCAGAGAAAATTTGTGGTTGCGTAATTTGATTTATTTGTAGTAGAAATTCAAAATTTAAAGTTAAACATCTGACCATTTGGCTGATGTGTCAAGTGGAGGAGGAAAAATACCCATTTATTAAACGGATTGACCGATTGGATTCAATCTCAATGCTAATTCTTTTTTTCTTTTTCTTTTTTGTGGACGGTCAATTGAGTATAAAAATTAAATGTATCAAAATATAACACGATCCGTTAACATGATACAAAATTAGAGATTTTGAATTTTTTTTAAGCTAGCCATTTAATAAACAGGTGGACCCGATATGATACAATTAATAAACGAATCGAATATGGATGAAACCAAGCAAAAAAAAAAAATACACGATACGACTCATGTATATACCAGCTATACACAGTTCATACACGACACGAACCCGATATGACACGATTCGTTAGACACGAATTAGTAAATGCATCAAAATAGGTGAAATATTTTTTGACATGAACCAGTCTCACCCAATTGACGAGCCTAATAAAAACATACTTTTAAAAAACTTTTTATGGAACATTTTGCATGTGTAATTTGCAAATGTATTTTTTTTTTTATATTGACAACACATTAGTCTAACTCATGCTTTCAACAAAAACAATGGTAGTTTGAAGAATAAGTTCAAAAAAATGGGTATTATCATGAGAAAGTTACAAAAATAATTTTAATTTGCCCACTTCCTCTTAAAAATTTATGGGAGATAATTTTTTTCATTCCGAAAAACTAAATTCTCATAAATAAAACTCTTCTATTGTAACGTATATTAAACACCGACAATCATTCTCAACTAGTCGTATTTGAATTTCTCACTATATTTGATACCTACTCACATTTAAATTTTAAAAAATAATTAATTGAGCACGTCAATAAATGTTTTTTCAATAATGTTGGAGTGGGATTCGGAACAAGGTGTGACAGTGAAAAAAGCTTGTAAATTCGTCTGACAACCGTTGACTATTTCTTAGTTTAATTCAATGTGCATCTATCGTCAAAATTCGTTAAATATCTACAATGAAGTGATTCAAGTGCGCCGTGTGATTGGTCCAAAAAAGTATTTTAGATAATTGGATAAAATCTTAAACATCCGAGCCCAACTTTCTGCCACCCACTAACCCGACCCACTTTCTCATGTTCCCTTCCTCCTCCCTGGCTTCTTTTGCTTTCACTATCCAGACACTAACCCAAACCCCACCACCACCACCACCACCACTCTTCTATTCATCACCACGACCACCATCATCACCACCTCTGACTTAATCTAATAGAATGTGTATGCGTGCACAGGCGTGTATTGATAATCAATCCATGAAAAATACGAATTAATACCCATGATTAGTGGTGATAAAGTTAGAAAATCTTTAAAAAAAAAATGTAAGAATAGTGAAAATTTTCAATACAAGTGATAGTTTCGAACCTCTAATCCCTACTTTCACATAAGATCTTACGATCCCACATCGGTTAAAAATATGTGTATATATAAACTCTTTGACACCCTTCCTTTGCAAACCGGGACAAGTTCTATCCACGGATTTATAACAATTGGTATCAAAACTAATCACCACATCAAATATGAGATCGAGCAATGTAAACTGCGGTTCTCTGTGATCGAGTCATAGAAAGAACGACTTATAACCTGAATTAATATGACTTGATATTATATATTGACATAGTACTATCTCAAAAATGACTATCGTTAAGTTAACGTCGATAGAGTGAACCACTGTGGACATCGACTACAAAAACATGGTAAAATGTTACGATCCCATATTAGTTAAAAATAAAACTAGATATGTATGCATGAACTATTAGACACCTTACCTTTACAAATCAATTTTCAAGGGTAAATTCTAACCATGAATTCATAACATAAGATGACATTTCAACAGTCACTCAACTGTGCTAAAAGACGGCTTTGGCCAGAACCGAGGAAGTTTGAGTGATTACTAACTTAAATGATCACAAAATGTCATCGTCTTCACCGTGCTCCTCCTAAATATGCCTTGGTGATGTAGTGTCAAGTGTCAGGGATCATATGCGGGGTGGACCATCTGCATTATGTATTTAACTTAAAAAACCCAAATATCAGATACTTACATAGCGCTTGAAAGACACCCTCATCAAGGACTGATTTAGCATTCAATCCAATAGCCGTCAATGGCATACTAAACCTATAGACAGTTTTAGTGCTCCAGAGCTGATTTTCTACCTTTGGTTCCAATTTAACGTGTTATGAACCTCTCCCCCACCTCCTCCAGTTGCAAGACTGCAGGGTAGCCAAAAGATGAAGTGAATATTTTCCCTAATAGACGGATTACAGCTCCTACTCTGGACCATTCTCTCCGCTGCCAGAAGCAAAGCTAATGGAAGTGGGCAGCAAGTGTAAGAAAGGAACTTGTCTTGAAGCATAATCCTGATTCAACTCAGTGATANTTCCGCTGCCAGAAGCAAAGCTAATGGAAGTTGGTAGCAAGTGTAAGAAAGGAACTTGTCTTGAAGCATAATCCTGATTCAACTCAGTGATACAAGACTATCAATTCTATCAAGCGAAATATACACATTTTACAAGACTACATGCACATGTCAATGTCTGAGATGCATCAACGGTAATGAAAAGGAAAAATATCACTAGAAACTCAACAAAAAAGTAGGATTCAAATGCCAATAATGCAGCATGAACATGATCAAATTCAGCTCACAAAAGAGCCGGTCAGACCTCCCCAGCCCCCCCCAACTCCTTTTTTTCTCACACTCTATTTGACAATACAAGAGAAAGGATCCAAAATCAAGACTATGAAAAGCCCCAAGCAGCAAGCGATCATACATCAGGCAATATGCTCTGCCAGACTAAGAATCTTGACATGCTTTTTCTTCCTTAATTCATGTGGAACAGGTCCAAATACCCTGGTTCCAATTGGCTCACCTTGCTTATTGACGAGTACTGCAGCATTATCATCAAACTTGACCTCACTCCCGTCGCAACGGCCCCGCTGCATGGCGGCACGCACAACAACAGCATATACAACTTTTCCTTTAGCCACTTTTCCACCTGGTTGAGCTTCCTTTACTGATGCAACTATTGTGTTCCCCAGCCTCGCTCCTTTCTTGTTACCCTTCAAAGTTTGTATGCACATGATTTGTTTTGCCCCCGAGTTGTCCACCACTTTGAGTTTGGTCCTCATCTGTATGAAAGTCCTATTTTGCTGGAGAACACGAGAGAACTTAGATTTCAAGAACGGTTTTAAGTTAGTCAACAACATACTCCTTGGAGACTGTCCTATGAAAATCTTGTGTGAAACTGTCCACATATTTACATGGTACCAAGGTTTCTTTTTTTGATGAAAAAAAACAAAAAAGGCCTCTATTGAGTGACTCATTTTTCTTTTTTCGCATGAAAAAATGACCAAGAACCTTGGCAGCGTGACACACAAGCTATGAGTTTTATGGAGGTGGTTTCAGCTACCAAACCACTTAACCAAACTCACCTTGGAGAACAGAAAGAAAATGTCGTGCAGATTCGTAATCACAGGGTGGAAAAAGCAATAAATCCGTGGGTGTGCCATAGAAGGTTACAGGGTACCAACAGGAATTGGGTGAAACTTGAAATTGAAGAGTACAGTTTAGGAATTTATTGTAGTATGATATTATATCATACTATTTGGGTTCATCGAGTCTAATTATAAAATTAGGATTTATCATTTTTTAACTATAACTCAAGTATTTTTTGGGATTGCCTGTATAGGTTTATATGTAGTGAGATTGTCAGACCATTATTGGCATGAGAATTGCATATTGATTTGAGTATTGGATTGGATTTTTTTCTAAGCTTGAATTTCACTCTCTTCTTTTAGAGAATTCTTCCTTTCTTCTTTCTACTTAATTCTTATCCAATCTCTTGTTCAGATTATTTGTTCTTGTCCCAAGTCAGAAGGTCAACTATAGCTTAGGCAGCACGTGAAAACAAAGATTGAACTCAAACTAGAAGCATAGGTTTTGTCAGCGAGGTACCATTTGGCTCAGTCACATGGCCACAATTAGTCTGTTACCATGCCCGCGTAAACTTCATTCTGGCCTTAGCAGCTCTAAAAGGAGGATATCCACACAGTTAATTTGACTTTGCTTTTGCCCCTCAATTTTTCGAAAAGCAGGATTCAAGGTAACAGTCTGGAAAAATATAGGACCAGAAGAAGAAAACTATGTGCTATCTCAATCATTGGGATCAGCAACATGGCAAAGGCCATTCCTATCTGTGCATGAGATCTCAAATTTATTTCTCAAGTTCAACATCCCCAATACTTCTGAAATATCATAGGAGCATTGAAATATTTCAATTACTTTGTTAAGTTTCCATAAAATTTTAAGTTTTTAACAAAACTTTCCATATACATTCCAGAATAACTACACATTCAATCACTATTACACATATTTTCATGCAACGATGCCTCCATCAACGCTAAAGATTAAAAGATGGCATTGATAATGTCTAGCACTCAAAGGAAAATAATGAAGATAAACTGGAGAAATAGCAGCTTCTGTCAAGATAAGAGAATGACAGCAAGTCCATGCACAATGACAGTATAAATGTTGGAAAGCCACAAAAATTATTGCAAAAATGAACACACTAACCTGAAACAAGAAATCACTGCGTGTTGTCTCGTGCGATGTTCTCTGGAAACCAAGAGAATTGTTGCCGTATCCCCCCAACAATAAGCGACCAACTATTTTGTTTTGCGCATTGAATGAACAGTCGGTCAATAAGTTCATGCACCCACGGACATTAAACAATGAGAAACAGATTCCCATATTTATTAGTAAAAATCTGAGATAATAGTTATTACTCATATGTTCAAGCAAATCTACCGTAGTGTGCAAGGTTGTAATGATGTCTTATTTTTTATTCTAAACAGGATAGTACCCAGGAGTTGGTGTCTAAATTATGGAAACTCTAATCAAGCAAACAACTAATATATCCTAACACATTTCGTTCAATCATCTTCTGCCATCTTCCCTTTCGAAACTGAACACAACAACAGACAATGTTTCATATTCTCAATGTGGTTTTTGTTACTGCCAAGTAAGAACGAATATGTTTCCTCTAGACAAACAACGCAGACAAGATAAATGTAAATTTACTTGGCAGAAGAGAAAAAGTTACATACTGTACCCTTCCTAGTAACAGCTGAAACTATATTAATTCTCCAGATATGTTTACAACTAATGCAAGTAAACGTGTAAAGACATTCTAACCTGGTATAACAACAAACAAAAGTCCAAATTTATATGATGGTTGAAATTGATTATTCAATGCCTTGATCTTGCTCTCCTAACTGTGAGTGTAATAAGGTAGTTCTTGAAGGCAGGCTGCTTTCTCATTGGCCCCGTTCCTAGATGGTAGGTCATACTACTCACACTTTACTGCATGGTTTCTTGGCTTTGCCATCCTGACTTCCCTACCATATGTGGGAAGAGAAACATAGTACTGATTCTCATGGTAGCATCTCTTTTTATTATATACGCAATATGAAAATCTTTATAATCCTCCTTAATTTGCCTAAAAGCATTCATAATTCCAGAAAATAACAGTGCAATGGCCCAATAGACGATTTTTCAGTTTCATGTGATCTGTTCAAACAACAATAGTTCAGCATTTCAAAAACAAATTGAGTCTTAGATATTTCTGAATATTTGGGCTTCCGAGCTTTTGGCTTTTGACAAAAGGCACAAAAACTTCAGACTTCCTATCACTAAATTTTTTTTCTTGATAGGAAACAAAACTTTTATTAATTAAAAGAGAGAAGTACAAAGGTCTTACCCACCCAATGAGGGAAAACAAAAAAAAGGAAATACATAAAAAGCGTTGCAATCCTATAAAAACGAAGGAGATAATCCTCTAGTTACATGCCACAATCGAATCAATGCTATCACTGAATTAGAGTACCAAGCTAAAATCAGTCAAAAGTCAGAAGCTGCAGTCACATGCTTATGAATTATTTGTGTCTATGTTTTGGCTTGTCTAAGAACCAATTGGAACAAATTCATGTAACTTTTCAAAAAATTTGAGGTAGATGCTGTACATTAATGTCCCAACTCTTTTTCATCGGAAAAAGAACAAATATTGTCCTTTGTACATATTAAGCGATTGGGCCACATAGTTATAAGCTAGAAATTATCTTCCATAAGCTCTATGCAGAGAGTTGTTACAATAAAGCATAGACATGGTACACGGATGCACATGCCGTGTCAATACATACAGCAAATTCAAACAAATAACACCCCCAGTGTTTGAGAACAATAGCATATGAATCTGCAATTCAAAACTTTATCTTCAAATTATGGATACATGTAGGAAGTATAGGACAAAGAGCTATGAAAATTTGGAGGAATATCGGTATCCACTATCCAAGAAAAATATAACATTCATGCAACTCTATCATAGAAGCATCTGTAAAGGTGTATTAAGTTATTTTCTAAATTCTCTTGAGCACAGTATCCTAAGGCTTTTAGCGCTATGGCTTTCTATCTGAATAATGACTTCCAGCATAATGTACAAGATGGTTAGGGTCTTGAACCACCTTTGTTATGCACATGTAGGTTAATTGACATTTGGGTTAGTCCTTGAGACAAGCTTGAGCTAAGAAAATACATACAGATCTTATCAAATCTTAGCTTTGTCAGGCAATAGCTTTTAAGTATCCTCGAATTGTTGACGGTTTATTCCAAATGAAACTGCAATCCTAGTTCCACTGTCACTAAATAATAACAGTAGACTTATATACAAGCTCTTTGACATCATTTTCTATCGAGCAATGCTACTTAGACCCAATAACCATTGAATTGCCGGTGGACCTCAATATTTGTTGGGATCGGCAACCAATCCAATGGTTGTTATGAATTATGCAAGCAAATTAGATTCAAATAGAATTATTGTTTTCTGCCATTACTTTCTTGACATTCCGCTTGACACTCTCAAAGAAAAAGAATTAAAAAAAAATAGTTGAAAAATTTTCAAGCCCTTGATATTAATTGGATTAAATCTTCAAATCAATACTTAGCAACGTCATTACAGCGCACGACTGCAGATACACATGTAGATATGTATATTCAATGCAGGAGATTACTTGAAAAGCAATAGAATCAGAATTCATATTGATAACTACAGTTCCATTGAGAATGGTATGAAATCACATACCACGAAAGCATTTAGAAGCAGAAGACACCGCCATCTTCGAACTTTAAGTAGTGCACCAATCTTTGTTCCAGTGGTAGTTGTTCAGATGGAGAGAGCGAGAGGGAGAGGGAGAGGGAGAGGGAGAGAGAGAGAGAGGTGTCTGACCTGCTGGTGGTGGTCCAGCTACTGTCAATGCTGGTGGCTCGGTTTAGCTTAAGAGAGAGAGACACAGAGACAAAGAAAGAGAGAGAGGATAAGTCGGGAGCATAGTTTTAAAACCCGGCCCGGACATCAACCCGACAAAGGAACATATCAATAGGTCACGGGTTCAACCATTGGGTCTGGTCGGACCGATAATATAATAAAAAATTAAAAAAAAATTATAAATACTAAAAAATAGGCTAAAAAATCAAATAATTATAAAAATAACATCAAATATGCAAAATTAAGTAGAGAAAAATCATCAAACATGTATCCATTTTCAATGTATTCAATTTTCAATCTAACTTGTAAAGTTAAGTAGAGAAAAATACCTCTATTGAAATTCAATTGAATTCAAAGGTCCAAGTCTAAGTCCAACTCTTCGATAATACATCAATCTAAGCATAATCTATGTAATTTGCACCCTTCAAAGTTCAAACTTCAAATTCAAACTATAGTAAGCAAGGCACATAAAAACAAAACGAAGCACATGAGCATAACATAACGACTCAAATAAACGAAACTGAAAATAAATTATTCAACCACCGTCTAGTTTCACTTGAATATACAAATATTACCACTATTATCAATTAAGTGATTAACTAATCTACAACCCAATTATATATAATGAACAAAAAGAATCACAAGCAAGCCACAAGTTCAAAACCACAATTCATAATGTTCTTACAGCAATAAACAATCCACAAGTTCACAATATTGTAGCTTATTTTAAAAGATAATAGCTTCTACAAATCAAATTGCATCACAGCTAGTAAAATAATGAAACACTTAATTTATAATTCTGCAACTCAAATAGATATAAATTAAGAGCGTTAGGGACCAAATAGACATATTTGATTAATTGAGATCGTCTTTCTCTTTTCAAATGAGATCTCTCAACAAATAGAAATTATTTGTGATTACTACTTGACGCCTTATCTAGTCTTTACAAAAGTCCCAACCTAAGTGATGAAGAACTTTCCCAGAAAGATAAAGCCACCGCCTGCCTTGACTCCGGTCAATCAGAAACCACTACTAAATTTTCCAAGAAAATAAGAAAAGGAAAAAGTGAGAGAGATAGAGAGTGTTTTCTATGGTGGAGTCAATAGTCAAGGCATCCACACCACGTTCGCACTAAATTAAATTAGAAGAAGCATAAAGTCTTATTCACAAACTACCACATCACTAGTATTTTAATTTCTTCAGTCTAGCTAAAAGAGGTTGATGATTCGTGGCAATTGCAGCACAATATATAGGAAAAAGCAGCAAAAGGTTGGTGGACCTTGTTGCTCGATGCGAGTCGATGATGGTCAGTCGGGTGGAGTCTGATCTGATGGATGGAGGACACGATTAGACCACTGGTGCTGGCTGGAGGGTGGAATGCAGTCGATGCTGCCTGAGTGCTGTTTGAGGCTGGACTGGGTCGCTGGTGGGAGGCAGCCGCTGATCTGGTCTGGTCCGTCTGAGGCGATTTAGGGCAAAAACAAAAAGGGCAAGGATAAATTACATTTGCACCCGTTGAGGTTTGTCACTTAATCGGATGGACCCCCTCAGGTATGAAAAATAACACTGAGATCCCTCAAGGTTTGATCAGTTGTGACATATTGGCCCTTGAAGTTAAATTCAGTTTAACGAGCTATCCATTTCTGATGATATCAGCACAATTTGGAAACAAAATTCCTATTTTACCCCATGTATATTATTCTTCTTCCACTCACAGTGCTAAACACCCAAAAAAATATTTTACAAAATCCAGAGAGTATGAAATTTTTGTGGAGGTTATTTTTATAAAAATATTTGGGTGTTTAGCACTGAAATTTTTATTGTCTCTAAGAGTATGAATTTTTACAAAAATATTTTAAATAGCTATTTTAGATAGCGCTATTAGAGATGCTCATAAAAACAGGAAAGAGAGACGACGATATCGGTGGTATGACAGGAGAGAGAGAGAATGGGGAAGAGATGGGGAGGTCCCGAAGGAAGTACAAGAAATCGAGATCGAAGGGACGAGGAGGACTTCCAAAGAAAAAAAACCCTCATGTATTCAAACCATTGTTTCCTCTTCCACCAAAACTTCGATCTTTCGTCGACTCCTCTCAGATCAAATGGAACGACAAAGGCAATGTGATGGAGAACTACACGTCATTTGGCGAGATTTGTTACACCCACATGTCTCAACGCATTCCCTATGTAAAGCTGATATAAACCCAGAAGATCAAAAGCCACCTCCACCTTTAGATTTGTAGATGGAAGATTAATTTGACCATATTTTGCAAATTCAAGATGAGTTTGATAAGATTTGTATTGTTTGATGTTACTATTTTTGGTTGAACATGTTATTGTTTGATGTTATAATTTTTTTGTTGAGCGTGTTACTGTATAATATATATATGTGTGTGTGTATATATATAAATGTTACTGTTTGATTTTATTATTTTTTTTGTTGAATGTATTATTGTTTGATGTTATTATTTTTTTGTTAAGCGTGTTATTGTTTAATATATATATATATATATATATATATATATATATATGTTCCAAAAGCACCTTAAGGTGAAAAATTAATGTTTGACTAAAATAATCTCAATAAAATAGTTATTCTCTATTATATTTTTTTCAAAGTTAATAGCATTATTAAATTATATGTAATCTATTTATATTTATATCTATGTCTATCTATTTATATCTATACTACTATAAAATGTCACTTAACATGTAAAATTTATATTTTTCTATTTTAAACCTAATTATTAATGTAAATTCAATTGTAACCTTGAGGGCTTTGATTGGGCCAACTGCCTTTGAGGGCTTTGATCGGGCCAACCAGTATCAAAAACCAAGTGTCATAAGCCTATAAAATCTAAGATGAAATGGGTGGGCCTCCTCCTCCCTTACTCAATGTGTGTGAGGTTTGCTGCTGTCAACGGTCCATGGGCTGTAGCCTAACCCGGTCAAAAAATTCCACGCTCCACAACTTACCCAGTGAAAGGGAACTGATGAATTCATCGTTTCAATTTTGTCGGGCCAATGAATCCATCGAACAAGCTGCTTTTGAGGGCATTAATTGGGCTAACCATGAGAATTAAGGGTAGCACTGTCAAAATTTGATACGACACGATTAACCGACACAAATCAACACGAATTAAACGGGTTTGAGTGAGATCTTAACGGATTTGAGTGATAAATGGATTGACATGTCAAACACATTTAACTCGACACGATTGACACCCCTAATTAAGGGTCATGAGATATGGGTCGGAGCCTAACGTGCTCCATGACTGATCCATTGAAGCCGCGCTATAGAATTTCAAATTTTGTTGGCCAGGGAGTCTATGCAACAAACTTATATCACATCGTCAATATTTCGTGATATAATTGTTTAGGAAAAAAAATTAAAAAATGGATTACACTTTTTTACAGGGATGTGGTTATATATTATATGGATAAATAATTATTGAATTTTGTAGGTCTCACTTGTCCATTTATTAGTAAACGATTATACCACGTGATAATGTTGATGTAACGTAATTATTACACTCATTATGTTCCCGAGTCTAAAGAGCCTAATGACTAATAAGTCAAAATTCACGTGCCATGTTGCATGCAGTTGGGAACCTTATAACAAAGATAAATGCCTTATAACAACAGCTGGTGCACTCAAACCCCAACCACATCACTCCACTTGACACCAATTTTGAATATAGATGGTTGAATGTGTGCAACCTTGTGCAAAGAATTCTATCAAAACCAATATTAAAAATCAAAATTTAGCACTGCTCAAAAAATACATTCCAAATAGTTAACACTTGAATGATTAAGTAATAAAGGCCATTTGGATTTTCTACAAATTCAACAATTTAGGCAATGTTTAAATTATGTGTGTACATCACAATAAATTGATAAAGTAAAAAGTAATCCAAACAGATTCTTGATTGGGTAATCCACTACCTAACTTCTGGGAAAAAAGTCGACTTTCTAATAAATGAGATGAAGGGCCAAACAAACAACATGCATGATTTCTATGTGTACTGATGTAAAGACTTACAATATATACTATCCATGTATAAACATATATATTATGTAATTGAGATTGTTGTGTAGAGATACAAAACACATAGAGATACAAAAATATAACCGTGCAGACACTGTATAACACTGTGTGTTGAGTTTTGGATCATCATAGGTGGGATTCTTGGTCTTGGAATCTACTAAATTGACTTGCCTGTAGAATTTTCCTCATTGTTTTGTCGAGAAGCATTGTCAAAGTGACATTCGCCACCATTCTCGTACCCCTGCACACAAAATTATCAAATTGTTTAGTATTTGTAAGCAAGAGAGAGACAGAGATGTACTTGTGGGTAATATTCCAAGTAGATATTTATGGGGGTTGGCATTCGGGATCCTTAAAATTGGAGTGGTCCTTAAAATTGGATCATTCAAATACGTAAATTAACCCAACTATCAAACCAAATTTACCTTTTCAATCATTTACCTCCTCTTCGTCACGCTCCACCAACATCATTCTTTGAACCACTCCAGGCTTTGATTCTTTACCTGGACCAGTACCAATATGTCAATAATCAAAGTCACTTGAACAAAAGCAATTGACAATGAAAACAATTAAAGTCACAGAATTTTAGTAAAAAGATAAACTTAATAATTTTACATGTTTGCTTGGCTCACGTTCATGATATGCCTATGTCCCACTTACTTGAACTTTTCGCAAAGTTTTTTATGAATACATTATATTTTCGATATGGAATTTGTTTGAAAAACATCCCCTCGACAAGGAATTTTGTATGCAAAATTAGGCTAAGTCAACGAGATTAAAAACCAATTTCAATTACAAAGGACACAATTTGTAGGAAAAAATAAATGAAACAAGAACAATTAAAACCCAAAAAAGTTGTCAATGGCTTTTTTTCCTTCACTCTGATATTTCGTCAATCACCTAGAATGTAGAGGTGGTAGTTTATGGTAGTCAAAGGTGGAGGTTGCATGGTTTAACCTCAAGGGTTTTTAGTTTTATAAAATTTCGTGTATATGTATGGGTGTAGGTGTGAGTGTTCTATACGGATGTACACAATACTTATACATACCTACAATAAAAGACAAAAAAATAATTCTCAAGAAACATATAACTCAAATTAACTAAATCGATAGATCACAAATATTTGTTAAATCCACAGATTCATTATATTGTAAAAATGTCAAAATCGGATAAGTATAAATGTATAAGGTCTCCAATTTTTAACCTTTGATCCTATACTTAAACTCATCCAAGTAGACCCACATTAATCAACTTTAAAACCAAGGTGGAGGTTGCATGGTTTAATAGCAAGGGTTATTAGTTTTATGAAATTTTCGTGTATATGTATCGGTGTAGGTGTGAGTGTTCTATATGGATGTACACATAATACTTATACACACCTACAATAAAAGACAAAAAAATAATCCTCAAGAAACATATAACTCAAATTGACTAAATCAATAGATCATAAATATTTGTTAAATCCACATATTCATTTTATTGTAAAAATGTCAAAATCGGATAAGTATAAATGTATAAGGTCTCCAATTTTTCACCCGTTGATCCTATACTTAAACTAATCCAACTAGACCCACATTAATCAACTTTAAAACCAATACATGGCATAAGATTTAAATAATCAAGTAGAATCACATTAACAAACTACAAACCAATGCATGACATAGGATTTAAATAACCTAGAAATTTGTTGTGGTCTCAAATTTCACTATTTTCAAGCAAATCCACATTAATCTATTTCAAAATCAATCTATTGATAGTAAAAATCAATATGTATAGACAACACTTGATCAAAAATTTGATATCAATTTCATTAACAAACCCTAACTAAGCACAACATGAAAATTAAAATTTTCTAGTGTTTTGAAAATTACCTAGCTATTCTCAAAAGAAAAAAAAATACCTAGCACCCAAATTAAAACACAATCTTAATGTAAATAACCCTCACATTCATCAAATCAATACACTATAAACCTATTACATAATTAAGAAACAAGTCAAATTGAAATTTCACAAACTATATTCGACACCCAAATTGAAAACTCAATTTGAAAATAAATTAGCCTATAAAATGAACACTTGATAATAATCAACACAACATCCATTCCATCCATCCTAACATTCATAATAAATAAAACATATTTCATCATAACTATAAAGCTATTTCATAATAAAAAAAAACAAATTGAAAACACCCAAATTAAATTTCATAAAAAACATATCTCATCATAACTATAAACATATTTCATAATTAAAAAATAAATAAATTGAAAACACCCAAATGAAATTTCACAATAAACCTATTTCATCATAACTATAAACCTATTTCATAATAAAAAAACAAAAAAATTGAAAACACCCAAATCAAAATCCCCCAAATTTATTTGCTACGTGTGTGTGTGCTATGTGTTTCCGTTATCTGTGCTGGGTTCGTTTGTGTGTGTGTGTGTGTGTGTGTGTGTGTGTGTGTTTGTGTGCTGTTGTGTGTGTTTGTGTTTGTGTCCTGCTATGTGTGTCTCTATATGTGTGTGTATGTGTGCATTATTTGTCTCTATTGGAACATAGGATACCACTTGTTGAAACATAGCTCTGATATCACTTGTTGAGACATAGCTCTGATACCACTTGTTGGTTTTGTACAGCTAATAATTAACACAAATAATAATACTCTGATACTAGCCACTCTTGAACCAAACTCTTCAAATTTTGTCATACCCAACATCGAGTTTGGCACCATTGATTCTAATCCACCAATTTTTTCAAGCACTATGTTCAACCCTGCTCTTCTAAGTCATCAACCCTCTCTGTCTTTCAAGAGCCTGCGTCTTGGCCTGCATTATTTGTGCATCTCTACTCACGTCTTACCTGCTCTTAGGAATGGTTAATGCTTCACCATATAAAAGTAAATCTTAGTGACTCATAATCCATAGGACACTGCATCATCAATATTGGGTTTATGTTAGTCTAATAGCTCCCAAATCATTGAAATACCGCAACTTTAACTCAAAGAATCCAAAATTCTGAAGAAATATCTTCAACACAACACGTTTGATAATTCTTGAAATCCAAACAATCAGAAAACAACTTAGTCTTCCGTTTGATTTTATACCAACTTTAATTTTTTCTTGTAGATCTAAACAAAAATATAAAATGTATATACGTGACAAGAGAGTCTTCTTCAACATGAACACCAACTTGATCATTGAATTGCCAACAACTTCCTTTGATTGTTGCACCAGGATTGTCAATCTAACTCTGATTGTTCTACCAGGATCATCAATCTAACACTAATTGTTGCATCAAGAGCATCAATCTGGTTCTGATACCACTTGTTGGAACATAGGATACCACTTGTTGAAACATAACTCTGATACCACTTGTTGAAACATAACTCGATACCACTTGTTAATTTTGCACAGCGGATAATTAACACAAATAATACTTGTTGGAAGATAGAAAAAAAATAAAAATATAACATAAAGATATAACGTGGTTCGATACAACATACCTACATTCACAGACCAAAAACCTACATCGATGTATTATTCATTGAAAAACTAGTCATCTGATAACTGATTACATAATACACACCCCTATTTATAGGGGTAAAATACTATAATCCAAATTTATTCAGATACAACTTAATCTTTATGTTTTCTATCACATGTCTAATATACCATTTCATGATATATTAAAACTCTTCCAATTTGTTTCCTATTTGATTTTGTCAATAATAAACCTATCAATGGTTTATTAGGACTCTCAAATTGATTACCCAACAAATTTTCCTTTATGACAATTAAAGAGTTCGAGTCAAATTCCAACAGTCTTTGTGTGTGTCTTTGGATGAGTTGTTTACGTGAGCTGTGTGTCGTGAGAGAGAGAGATAAGGGGGTTACTTGGTCAATGTGAGAGGAACCATGGCAAAGAGAGGGAGCCATTGTAGAGGAGGAAGGTTGTGTGGCTATTGGTTTAGCCATGGCAACGAGCGAGAGAGAGAGAGTATGAGAGAGGTTGGTAACCGGTGTTATGGGGTGGGGGTGGCATGTGTGTGGTTAAAATGGGCGGGATTTGTTATTTGTATGAGATGTATTGTGAGCCTTTAGATTAAGTTGAAAGAATTGTGATGAAATTTGGATCATTGAATTAAAAGTGAATTAAATCTGAGTCGTCATTATACTTTCCCAAATAAATTAAATTTGGAATAAATTTTAAAGTAGAAATGGATTCAAAATTGCCTCTATCTTATTAGTATAGATATCATATTTATCAATTACATATTATGCATACATTAATTTTATAAAAAAAAATCAAAAATCAAAAATATTTTTTTCATTTTACCAAACATAAAAAAATCAATCCTTCTTCCTTTTCATCCCTCTTACCAAACATAAAGGAATAAAAGAATAATTTTTCTCTTGAAAGATAGAAAGTGTATCACTCTCACTTTCTATTATTCTATTTTTTCATCCAACCTACCAAACGAAGCATAAAAGTTGTCATGTATGAAGAAAATTGATGCCTAAATTTATGCACAAAGTGTAAGAATCAAATTTTCATTTTATTTTGTTTCCACCAAAGTGGTCAAAACGTTTTGGGTGGGACTATTTCTACCTCACAAATCTCCATTTTCACCTCATTTAATTTCTCATTATCAAAATATTAAGTCTACCCCTTCTATACCAACCTCATTAATAATTAAGTTCTCCTCATGCTACATACACCCCCTTTAATAAGATTTTATATTTTGTCATAATTAGAGTTTCATTCTTTATTTCATCTCATGTACTCACAAAAACACTTTTTCAATATTATTTTTTTCAATGAGATACAGGTTAATATTACTTCTCAATTTAATTTTATATTTGATTTCTTGTTTATTGTATGAATTTTCATTATTTTTGGCATATTTAGACATCTTTGTCAAGTTTAACAATCATTAATTTAAAATTTATATATGTATGTGTGTGTGTGTGTGTGTATATATATATATTATAAATCCTGGGAGGCAATTCTAATTGGTCAATAAAAATTAATCTTTTTATTTTGTTTAAGTTTTACATCTATACTTGTTTTTTTTTTTTATTCAGTTTTTTGTCTAGGCTTGATACTTTGATGTTAGTTTTTTTTTTTTCATGTTTGGTTTTGTGTCTCATGTTTTTGCTTGGTTTTTTTTTTCCTTCTGGTCTCAGTTTATTTATTTCTTTCTTTTCCTTTTTTCATTATTTTCTTTTTAACGGGAGTGTATATAATATCGGGTGGGTTTTGTTACTAATGGGGTGAGTATAAAAATGGTTGAATTAGTAGTTTGATAATGAAAAATTAAATGGGAAGAGAATGAAAATTTATGGGATGAGAATAACCCCCACCCAAACGTTTTTGTGTCTGCAAAAACCAAAACGAATTGGTAAGTAAATATTAAAATTCCTATGTTTTGGAATCAAATTTTTTATTTTTTATATATATTTTCATTTTATTTTTGAAACAATTTTTAAGCATTTAAGTACATTTTCATTTCCAAGCCGACCGGAACTATGCGCTGATATAAAAATTTAATCCTGGATTAGGGGTATTCTGAACTAAGGCCCTTATGCTTAGAACGAAGAAAAACCATTTATTATCATGTGTTTCCTGTAATGTCACTATGTCATCTTAGCATCCTCATATCTCATTAGATAAGTAGCATCGTTCTTCCCTCTTGACAGCCTCATTTGTGTCTTTCGTCTAATGAATATATTGCGTTTTACTGCCCCCAACACTTCATGCCTAAACACTGTAAGCGATCCTGCTCTACCTACAATTTTGGGATGACACTAAGGCACCAAAAAAAGATTGTCTGTATCATACCACAACGTGATCCTCGGCTGAAGATCGGGTCTAAGAGTTGAAGCAATTGGCAATCAACAAGGCTCTGAGAAATTGCATATCACAGTGTGATCTCGAGAATAAATGTGTATTACAACGCCAAAAAATGACTATGAACGACAAAGAATACAAAACAGCGTGCTGTGGGATCCAGACACAGACTCAACAAAAATACTTAAGAGAGGTGAGGAGCCTCGATACAGCTCAAGAACATATTAAACAACATTGTAGCACAACATAAAAATAACAAAAGTACTGCAATTACTTCGTTCTATTGCCACCTCTTGGAAGACCTGGTTGATATATTGCTTCCACTGGCTGATTTTTTCATACCTGGAAGCAACAGAAGAATGAGATAAGAGCTCAATGGCACATCAATAGAATCTCTAAGTTACAATTGCACATGAATAGAACTTCCAACGACCAGATCATTATTCCATTCAGACGATAATAGCAGTTAAGCTGGGAAGGCACTAGTTTTGCATACCTATTGAACCCTTTACAGGGTCCTTTGGTGATTTTGGTGGCGGTCGAGGAATTCTAGATGCTGATTTAGGCCTGCATAAGAAAAGTTTACTTTTGATGCATATCAGTAGATATGAATTTCATTGAAAAAAGTAAAATTTTCTTATCAGTAAATATGAATATTATTGGAAAAGCAATCAATTAAAAAGCTTCATCACATCCCAAAAAGTTAGATTACTTCTACCAACTAATAGTAAAAATGACATACTCTTTCTTAATAAAATAGAAATGGAGAAATGTTCAGATAAGCAGAGACTGCTGCAAAAACTCAGCTGAGTTGTTTTACCCAGCAGGGGAGAAAAGAAAAAGGAAGAGGTGTATGTGGCAAACATTTTTTTCTATCTAACATGAAACACTAATAGCTCTAGTATCAACAAATGCCCACTATTATTTCTTTTCAAAAGCAAAGGCTACCTGAGATATACGAAATAAAGAAAAAACAAACTTCTAAAATTCACAAATAGAGAAGAACACAGTCAATTGACAAGAATCATTAAAAAAAGTTTAGTATGAAGACAAAGGAAAATTACTAAAGAAAAGCCAGCGCTACCATAATTTCAGCATATAATAAGAAATGAAAAGAAAAATAAGAAAAAACTTATTTGTCCATCAAAAGGAAAAGAACAAGATAAAACATGTTCCCCAAGTTGTTGAAGGCATGCCACCATATCATGTGTAATGAGAAATGGTTCAATACTAAGGAAGAAAATGATTCAATGTACTGTCTACTTTTGCAAAAACAGAAGCAATATCTACAATCTGGAGTCATGTTGCATGACAAAGGCAATTATAAAGAATACAGTAACCAAAAAAAATTCAAAATCATAACATGAAAAAATTTCCATCCAAATAAAACTAAGTGTTTGAATAATTGAAGGTTGTTTTTTGTTTCTCTCCTAATGTTCGAAAATATGTCACATCAGAGTTATATGAAAAGTGCCTGTCATAACAAGAAAAAAACTACTTACTTATTATCTGTGCTCTCTGATTGTTTTGTTCCTTCAGGGAAAAGATTGCTTTCTACAGAGCCATCAGTGTCTGTTCCCACAGAAAGACCACCATCAGATATGTCACTCAGTCTCTCCTCATTTTCTGCATCATCAAATCCTAAGATCTCAGCATCAACAGAAAAATTCTGACCTATAGATTGCTGGGAACTAGTTGCAGATAGCTTATCACTATTGTCTGAGCAGTTGTCCTGATCAGAAGCTGTTTTCTCAACCATTCCTGAGCCCTTCCCACCAGACAATTTTAAGCTTCGTTGAGGAGTTCCACCTATGGAACTTTTGCTTGGAGAGGAAGACCCATACCTCAAGGAGTTTGTTCCACGTTTTTCGTCATTGACACCCTGATACACATTTTTGAGATCTTTAACCAGCTGCAACCTCTCAATCTCCTCATCTTTCTTTGCAATTGTGTCTTTGAGAAATGCCACCTGCATGGCCAAAAAGATTCAGAAGACAACATACTACATGTACCTTGAAGCAAAACAACTACAGGTTCTTTACATGTACATGACATGTGACTTTGATTCTGAATAACTAAATGAGCTGGCATGTAGAATAAACTCTCCATGAAATTGAAAAAAAAATGTCTTACATCGTCATGTTAGTTGCGAATGTATGCAACGTCTTGTCATATACTCAATTCAACTCAACAAAGCCTTAAACAAAACTATTTGGAGTCGGCTCCATGAATCCTGTTTCTCAATAGCTCTCTATCATGGGTGATATATTCCATTAGATCATAAGCATGGTTATGAAAATCTCAATCCATATCCTAGGATCTTATGATTCTATAATCCAAAATAAGCAAATCGATCTGAATCCCTTGTAGATTCTCAAATTTGTAGAATTTTAATAGATTGCGATCCGGATCTTAGAATCCCGATTTGAACTACGATTTTATCTATTCTATGTTGTTGAGTTTATTTGTTAGTCGCATTTAATTACTAAGCAATCTAATCCATATTTTTCATTTTAATCATTAAGGACTCGATTCAAATATGAGTGTCTTATACAATTGCTAGTCTATTGAGGAATTTCAATGGATGAGAAAAGCTACATAAATTTTGTTTTGGTTACAAAAAGGTCTATTTATTCGTTCATCTCTCTTGTTGAGAAATCGAAAGCAAAAGTTAGATTTGATCTTCTCCCTACGAGTGATCATAGCCAGATAGTTTTCTATTTTTATTATTTTCTCCTTTTTTTGTTTGGTCAACTTCCAATCTCTCCTCTATATCTTTTTTTTCTGAAAGTTAAGGTCAAAATATTTCAATTCTTCTATTCCTTTTCGCAAAATGTCACAAGATCAACAGTACATCATTGATTTTAAACCCTCTTCAATATCCAATTTGTAGTTTTTCAAATTTTAATCATATCTTAAATTATATGTTTGTCATAATATTCCTATTTTCATTTAAATTAGGCTTTGTTTAATTCTTGTTTTTTGAGAATTTTGTATTGCTACATGTTTTTCATCTCATTTTCTTAGTTGATAGGATCTTATGATTCTTGATCTGATCCTATGATCTCGATCCTGTATTGTCCCCTCGATCCAAATAGGATCCCCATTTTAAACACCTTGACCATAAGCTATCATTTTTTTTTTACTATTTTGTTCATAGTTATTTTAAGCCCACCTCTAGCATTTCCATCGAACTGTATCAAAATCACTCTTCTTTACCGATGCATTATGACGTCTTCTATAAAAATGTTAAACCACCTAAGTTGACTGTCTCTCAATTTATTTCTATTAGTGGTACTTCTAGCTGTCATGTATGTTTATAAATCACCACATATAATGCAATGAGACTATGCAAAAATTAGGCTTTTGCACACTGATGGATAATTAATCAGAAAAGATCCAAGGAAACTTTGTTTGCTGCTAGAGAAAAATGAGGATCAAAGGTGTTCTAGAGCTATTGAAAACCAATTACAAGTGCACTCCAGAGAACAAACCCCTGAAGTTTGACAAACAAACACTTCCTACGCCAAAGAGAATATCTAATGTTCAAGGAGGCATTTCAGAATATAGAAGAAATTACATATAAGAACACATTTCCCACTCAAGATGATGCTTTTTTTTTCCCGCATTTCTCAGTCAAGTATCCCTATGAACACACAGCTCATAGGGAAGGCACACCCAGATCACAAAAAGAGAATTTATATAGTCGTTAACTGCCATTCGCTACCTTAACATTAATGAAAAGAAGATCTCAGAAAATAACAACAAAGAGAAACAGAAAAGAACAAGAAAAAATGTTTTGACACTTGAAAAACTAAATATCAGGATTAGGGATAGAAATAGAAGAAAAATGAAATGAAAGAAAGAGATACGAAACAATATTGAATGTTCGGTGTGTATTTTCTATCCTATCGCCTATTTATAGTATATTGATGTTGAACACAATTAAAATATTAAGAAAGTAGAACATAATAGTAAAATAGAACAATAAGTAGAATAATAGAAAAGTAACAGTCTAACAACCCCCCCCCCCTTTTTTTCTCAAGTTGGAGCACAGACATTAAAAATTTCCTTTCGTAATAACAAAAATTTCCTTTCCTAATATTTTGTTTCCTAATAACAAAAATGTCCTTTCCTAATGCTCCCCCTTAACTTGGTGCATAAAGGTCTGTAATGCCCAACTTGTCAGTAAAGTGGTCAAATAGTTCCCAGACCAAAAGGTTTGGTGAAAAGGTCCGCAACTTGATCATGAGTTGGGAGGTGCGCCACAAAGATCAAACCGCTATAAAGCTTCTCAAGAATGTGACAATCAATCTCAATGTGTGTCGTCCTCTCATGGAAAATAGGGTTCTAATCGATGTAGAGAGCGGATTGATTACCACAGTAAAGGGTCATTGGACGAGGGTGAGGGACACCAAGATCATTGAGAAGCTTCTGAAGCCATACTAGCTCACATGTGGTGACAGCCATGACCCTCTATTCTGCTTCAACAAAGGAACGAGCTATAGTAGCTTGCTTGTTGGTCTGCCAAGAAATGGGACTGTCACCAAGGCGAATTAAGTAGCCGGAACTGGAGTACCAAGACAAAGGATAGCTTGCCCAATTAGAGTCGTTGTAGGTAGTGATATGTAGAGTCCTGGTAAAAGAAAAGAGGAGGTACCGCCATGTGGTTTTAGAATTTTTTTTAGGTCAAGTCGTAGAGAAAGAAAGGCAATGATACCATCTTAAAAATTGTGGAATGAATTCTTTAATTCTATCATTCACGTGAATGTTTCTTTATAGTACAATAAGAAAAAGACAAGGAAAGTTCTAGCTGTACATGGAAACAAAAATTTTCATTCCTCATACTTTTTGCTTCGCTATGTGACAAGTTTCCTCATATCAAGGTGCAACGGCCAGAATTAGATCATCTATCATCCACTAAACTTGCCCAAAGATCAAAATATCGTTTCGGTGTATTGTTTCGGTCACCTAGGAAACGGAAACGTTTCGACCCGTTTCGAAAACATAATGAAAAAAATAAAAAATTTATTTGTTTAAAACATTGATAAAAATATATCAAAATATCTTGAAATACCTTGAAACATTCTAAAACAATTGTACAAATATATTGAAATATTATAATACATTTAAAAACATTATAAAATATCTCGAAATATCAAAATTTCGATTCCATTACTGTTTCGTTTCGATCTCCTTGGAAACGGAAACGTTTCGGACGTTTCGACCGCTTCGAAACGATATTTTGATCCTTGAACTTGCCTAGTCTAAATCAATAAATACTTAAAATGACCATTATTGGAGAAGAAGTTCCTTTTTCCTGGAGTAGACTTCAGATATCTTAAAAATGCAATAAACAGCTTCAAGGTGAGGAGTAGCAGAATCATGCATGAACTAACTGACAACACCCACTACATAAAGCAATATCTGGCTGACTATGAGCGAGATCCATCAATCTATCAACCAGTTTCTAGTAACTCTCATTATCTACAATATCACCAACACCACCACTCAATCGATTGTTGACCTTAATAGGAGAATTTATAGGTTTACACTTTACATCCCATCGTATATTTTTCTTCAAGAAGGTCAAGGACATACTTTATCTTTCAATTTGGTGACTTGCATGTCCATCATTCCTAGTTATTACTATGTCATCCAACTATACAATTGAGGATCATTATCTTGACATCAATATGTCTGATAAGCATAGTATGATCATCATGACTTGGTTAATATCCACATTTCTGCGTAACTCAGAGAAATCTATAAAACCAAATTATGAGAAACTGTTTGAGCCCATAAAGAGACTTCTTCAACTTACATATCTTCCCTTCAATTAACAAGAATGAAAAAACTAATGGACTCTCCATATACAACTCCTCCTTCGAATCTGTGTGAAGAAAGGCATTCTTCACATCCAACTGTTGAAGACTCTAACCAAAATTAGTTGCAGAAAAGAGAAGAGCATGCACAGAGTTTATCTTTGCCACATAAGCATATGTCTGAGGGAATCCCTTAACAACAAACCTATCTTTGTACTTCTCACTATCCTATCAACTTGTCGTTTGATAGCGAACACCCATTTGCACCCTTCTACTATTACTCTAATAGGAAGATAAACTAGCTCTCATAGGTCATTCTTTGTCGAATCCACCATGATGAGTCCAAATAATGACACATACGCTAATACTAGGTCGTTCCCCATAAGTGTCGCGTTGCGCCATCCTCGGGGCGTTTCAAAAAATCAATTAATGGTGTCGCATCAACGTTTGGGTGCGATGATAAATGGACAAGGGTCTCCGCACCATGCATAAATGCGGGGGTAAGGAAGGTAGTCCACAATGACAGAGTTAGATTAGAAACATGGAACATAAGTACACACCGGCAAAACAATAAAATTAGTAGACACTATGAACACGAGACAAAATAGTATAGCGTATATACAAGAAACTATGTAGGTAGGTGAGAAGGCACTGGCGACAGAAAATACATAATTTAAGATTTACTATATAGGAAATGATAGAAGAAGTAATTGCGTAGGAATAGTTGTAAATAAAGACCTAAAAGATAGCGTAGTAACAGTTACAAGAAAGGAGATGGGATTATATCTATGAAACTTGTAGTCGGAGAGAATATAATTAATGTGATTAGCGTTTATGCAACCCCAAGTAGGGTTAAAAGAACAAATTAAAAAGTAATTTTGGGAGCAATGACATTGCATGTGTTGTGGGAGCCGGTGGAGGGCTTGAAATGCGTTGCATGTGTGAGTCTCACCTCATAACATGACATAGTATTGACACATTCATTTCTTGATATGTTCTTTGATGAATGCTTGTTTGATTGTAGAATTGCATGTGAGTATTTCATATGTATCTAGGTTAGAGAGTAGCCTCTTTAGGAGACACTATTTAGGGTGGCTCACCCTTTATTGGGACAACATTTCAGGTGCGGGACAAACGTCAATGGATGGCC